TATTATCCTGATGTGACATATATTAAAAAGAAAATGAACATCTCTTCAATCCTACTGGAACTTTCTGCACAACAGCAATCATCACAGTGACAGTTGTTGATTAAGGCAGCCCAGCATCACCTTCTCCAGATGACAAGAAGCAAAAATATAAATTCAAGTCTTTTAAAAATATCCACACCCCAAGAATGGAAGACAAACTTTGTTTCTAAATATATTTTACATTCCTAAACAACTCATCTACTTTTGATGGCTATTGCCACTGGGAGAAAGACAAAGGCACATTGTATAATAACACCAATTGTTGATACTTAACCAGAAAAGATCCCCTTTACAAGAAAATATGAACTTAATGGCACTCACCTTTTATTCAACCTTTTGGCAGATTCAAAACCTGCAAAAGTTTATCACTTACATTATTCTAATTTCAAGCTACCAAATCAAGAAATTAAGGAATTAAGTAAATGACACACCTTCTGAATGAAACGCTTCTTTCAAATGTTCTAGTACATCTGCAAACTTCCTGACATCATTCACCAATTGCATAATATATTCTGGATCCACAACTGGACTGTCATAACAATCAGAGTTGGAGCTGATGCTGCTGACTGAACCACTTTTAGTACTTCGGCCCATACTCCAGTTTCCTGAGCTGGGCAAGGCAAAGAAATTTGAATTGGACAAACGGGCAAAACCACGTTTATTACTTCCAACAGCCTGTCGCAACATCCCAGCTGCTGCCCTGCTTGCAAATTCTTTAGGGCAATCTGTAGTTGATGCTAAAAAACCATTTACAAAATGGTTTAGGATGATGGATCCTGCAACAAAAAGAGAATACAAAAGTTTCAGTCAAAAATGCAAGATAACTTCAATACTGCCACTTAATAGAACATTAAAACAATTCTTCCAACATTAATACAAATACAATACAGCACAGGATCAGGCCCTTTGGCCCACTAAGCCTGCGCCAATTCCTAGTCCTTACTTAGACCCGCTACTTATTCCCCTTGCACGATTTCTATCCCTCTGTTCGCCTCCTGTTCATGCGTCTATCAAGATATGCCTTAAAAGCTGCTAATGTACCTGCTTCCATCACCTTCATTGGCAATTTTTCTAGGCAATTTAGAAGTGTAATAACAATGTTTTAATGGGCATTGAAGAACAATCAGTTTTTCTCAACCCACACTTCAGTTTTCCTTCATATGGGAAATATTATTCCAATTTTCTTTTGGTTCTTTTTTAAAATTCATTCACAGGATGACTAGGCCTACATGCATTGCTCACCTTAAGTGACCAAAGGGCAGTTGGAGAGTCAACCACATTGCTGTGGGTCTGGAGTCACATATAGGCCAGACCAAGTAAAGATGGCAGTTTCCCTCCATAAAATGGACATTAGTGAACTAGATAACAAGGTGTAGAGCTGGATGAACACAGCAGGCCAGGCAGCATCAGAGGAGCAGGAAAGCTGGCATTTCAGGTCTGGACCCTTCTTCAGAAAATTAGTGAACTAGATGTGTTTTTCATGATAATCAACTACATTTTGAAGGTCATTATTAGACATGAAAACAGCCAAAGATATAGTTTAGTTTATCAGAGTGTATGTTTGCCCCATTTGTGACAATTAGTGCTACAATTTTACAGGAGTTTGTAATCAGTTTTGACCACCTGACATCTTACTTTCATGTACTGACCTTCCTATGCATTCTGGGATATGGCTCAGCTGGCTCATTGTAATGTATTTTTATAATCTGTAATGTAAATGTTGTTAATATGGGAATATATCTGAGCAACCCTACTTCAATGATATTTTTGAAGTGTTTTGGAATAGAGAACAAAACAATTATGCAGTATTTTCATTGCGACATTTTAAGCATTACTCTGCTACAAGTCTGTAAATGGAACTTGTGGAAAGTACCTCAATGCTAACTACTTCAGTCTGTTGCTGATATTAAAGTAGAGAAGACATCATGAAATTCTAACTTCCAGATCTTTACGGAGTTCAAATTCCACCATCTGTTCTGATGGGATTCAAACCCAGGTGCCCAGAACATTACCTAGGTCTCTGGATTAATAATCTAGCGATTATACCACTAAACTGTTGCCACTCCTAAATGGTTCAATGGTTTTCTCAGCTACCAAGGCTCTACCATTTTTCTGTATTAATATCGGCAACGCACAAGGTACTTTCCACATGTCACATTTATAGACGCTTCAAATGTCACAATGAAAACAATGCATAGTAGTCTTGTTCTCGGTTCCAAAACTCTTGAAAATTGTCACTGAAGTCGGGTTACTCAGATACATCACATTAACAAAATTTTTATAACAGATTATAAATAAAAAAATACATTACGATGAATCAACTCAGGCACTGCCCAGAGTGAATGGAAACATCATCAATACATGGAGGTGGGATGCAATGAGGTCAAAAAAATTACATATTCATCAAAACTGTAACACTAACTGGCACAAATGGGGCAAATATATACTCCGATGAACTACATCTCTAGCCATTTTTATTTTTCTAATTTGATAACCCATAACATCAATATCACAATAACATCAATGCCATAACTTGTGTCGTAAGAGACTTTCCTGTTTACAACTGAGAACAGCAACACATTTCGGTGTCAGTCTCCTCCACTATCACCTTTCTTAGTTATTTTACAGGTATTTCGCTACAAGTTTCATTACCGTACAGCAACAAACAGTACAGATGGATAATAAAAAAAATCAACGTGGTTTCGCCGACATCGATCGATCGTCTTCGATAGTGACACTTAAAAAAAGTCGAAAAGCCACGCTAACATCCGAAAAAAACATATTGGTTTTTCAACACAGTACATGTGCTCACGCGCAGATGAAACCAATGAAGACGTGTTGATTGTAAAGCTGCTTCTTTTGAAAATAAAGAAACAGATTTACTGCTGATAACCCTTGCGAGGTGCGGCGCTCTTATCTGGCACTGAATGTCTCGCATTCCTTTAGGTTAAACAGCTCCGCACCACTCACCCACCGGTCCAGGCTCTCCCACCCAACCCCAGGGGCTGTTACTACACACGCCGCCGCCCTCATTTCACCCCACCAACCCTTCCCTCCAATTTACACCTCCCTAAATCAGAAACTTCCCCAAAGGGCTGTTATTTATGGAGTCAGAATTGTCTTCTTTAAAGCAGGAACTGCGAACACGGGCAGCACAGAGCAACGTGGACCCGGTTTGCATGCAGGGGGTAGGGGGGATGAAAGGGGGGGAACCTACAAAAGGGGTGCTGGAGGTGGGGGTGGGGAGTTTCCACTCATTGCGGGAGACCCCTGAGCGTTTGGGGGGGGGGGGGGGGGGGGGGGGTGGGGGGGGGGGGAGGGGGGGGAAACCCCCTGAGTTTGGGGGCTTGGGGGGGGGGGGTGGTGGAAGTATCAAAAGGCCGTCGCGAGCCTGACGTGAAGGGGTGCGCGCGCCACTTATCGCAGCGTGAGCCCTGGAACACCCGAGTAACGGTCACCGTTTAAACGGGGAGACAGGCACCCATCGGAGAGAGCTCCCCAAACAACTCGACAGAAATTGGACTCAATTTCAAATCAATGCCGATTTTGTGTTTTCTTGGGGGGGAGGGGTGGTTGGGAAACGTGCAGGCGCTTTTTACTGTTTTTGTTTTGGGGATGGAAAGTAAATATTTTCTCGCTTTTTAAACCCGCAATCAAACGGCTCCAACAATCGGGAGAAATCAGAGCGAACTTACCCGCCTTACGAAGGTATCGCCGGATTTCTTTAATCGCCTTACGATCATTGTGGTTTTGATTTTGGAAACGCTTCGCCTGCCTGAGGCTGGCGGCGTGAAAAGTAGAGTTTTGATGCTTCCCTCGGCCCACTCCTCCTCTGACGGCGGTCGGTATGAAAAACCCATCCGTCACCCGTTTACCTTCACACTTGGCCGCTGCCCGCCCTCAAACCCACGTGGGCCGCAATGCTTGGCCGCCGATTGGCTGAGGGTTGACGGTGCCCTGCCCTCCGCCCGCGGCCCCGCCCCGCCCTTTACCCCACATACCTACCGCCCACCACCTCCCCCCACCCCCGGCCCTCTGCCCCTTCTTCCACCCCACCCCCTCTGGAATCTATAACAACAGGTGAAACCTCAGAAGGATTACGGATCGGGTTGCAATGGTAGGGTCAGGGGCATGCCGGTGGTCGCATTTTGATTTTTATCTTTCCGTGCAACTTTTAAATGTTTCCACGTCTGCCGGGAGGTAATCGGACAAGCTGCGACCATTTATAAAAACTGCCCTGCCGACACAGACGAACAGTCTCTCTTACAGTGCAATTAAATTGCTTGTTCTCTCTCTTCTCCCCCACCTTCCCTCCTTCAGTTCAACCCCATGGATTTAACATTTACAAATTAGAGGCGCAGTCGCGATCCAAGATTTGTTTGGCCGTTGGTTTCCATTAGGAACCAATAATATTGAGACTGTACTGTCACATTTCATCCCGAAATTTTAATGTTAATGCTATTAATTACGGTGTTGGCTTTCTGCACCAAAAAGGCGATGATTTGTTATTTACACTTCGATAATAAATGGCACATTGATATTATCATAGACTAAGGTATTTGGGCTTGAAAACTGTCTGTTTGTTGAAATTGAGAACAAAGGGTTAAACTAGACAAAATATTGCCTGTGCAGTTCTTGCAAACACACTGGCAGCTATTCAAGATTGGCTTTAAATGAAGGTCTGTTAAGTGCTGATGCCACTCTCTTGTCCGTAACTGAAGCGTATCATGGGACAGACCGAAAAAAAACACGAACTGTAGAACATGTTAGTACGAAATGTAAAACAGATCGTTTGAAAAATTCTGTTTTCCTCTGTTAGTCAATGATAAAACATTGCACGTTTTTTACTGTAATGTGGGGATTACTAACATACATTATTTTTCCACGGCGTTTCTCTTTACTTCTATCAGCCTATTAGATTTCTGAAATGAATGATCAATTTTTAACTCATTTCTTAAGCCATTAGAGCATTCCGTCTGTGCTGAAATGTAAGATGAAATCTACGGGTAAACCGCATACCTAAGGTAGGCAATGTGCACAGGCTACTGAACACTAAATTACTGTTCTGCAAGATGACAGGAATGTGAAGGCCCTTTGATACGTTTATGGTTTGAGGAGGAAGGAAAAGATGACGTTCTTAAAATATTTTCACACTTTTACAATAACACCAATAGCTTATTCACATTATTTTATTTACAAGGATTCAGAAAATTCATGTCACTGAAAGATATTTTCCTCAAACCCACTCCCAGACAGTAATCTTGTAAATTGCAATGAATTATGACTTTATTTAGAAAAAAACAAAATTATTGCAATATTAAACATCTAATAACATGTTTATAATAAACATTTATAAAGGTTGAGAGTGTGTTGCAAGCTTGTAATATGCCAAAAGAAAGCAGACTAGAAGTCGCAAGGACAAATTTTAATGTTCCATATCAAAATTCCAGGGTTGACTACACCTCCAAACATAGGATTTTAAGACAATGCAGTATATAATGCTATTTAGTTATGTTTATTTTTAATTTAATTTTTTTAAATCTTGCTTTGGAATTATCACAATCAGCTCATCTCATTCTACTGTTGTAGCTCTCTAACTTCATCACTTTCAAATAAATAACCAGTTCTTTTAAAATCTCACATGGAATCTGCCTCCACCAATCTCCCAAAGCATTCCAAATCGTAACAATTGAGTAAAAAAAGTTTCTCTTCATCCCACTCCTGGCTCTCACTGACAATCTTGAAATTGTGATTCCCTTGTTACTGAAGCACATCTAGTAGAAACAGAATGTTCTTCTTTGCCCTGTCAAACCTGTTCATAATTTTGAACACCTCAATAAGTTCACCTCTTGATCTTCTCCAAGGAGAGTAAGCCCAATTTCTCTTTCCTTGTATCTAAAATGCTTCATTCCTGGTATCATTCTAGTAAATTTTCTTTGCATTCTCTCCAGGGCTTAAAATTCTTCCCTTAATAAAGGTACCAAGGACTGAACACAATACCCCAAAGGTGGTCTAACCAATGACTTGTATAGGTGAAACATCACTTCCTTGTTTTTATACTCTTTGCCTCTAATTATAAACCCAAGGATCCTATAAGCTTTAACAACTGTTTCAACTTGCCTGGCCAGAGAATTATGCATGTGAACCCTGAGGTCCCTCTGTTCCTGCACTTCCCTGAAAGTTGTAACATTGAGCCGGTATTGTCTCTGTGTTTCTTCTATCAAAATGCATTACCTCATATTTTTCTGCATTGAATTTCATCTGCCAGGTGTCTGCCTATTTGGTCAACTTGTCAATGTTCCTCTGAAATCACTCAACATCTTCCTTACAATTCACTATTCTCCCTAGTTTAGTATCATCTGCAAAATTAGAGATTTTGCCCTCAACACCCATCTCCAAATGGTTTATAAAAATCAGAAAAAGCAACAGTCCCAAAACCCATGTCTTTAATGGCTGTAAATTGTGAGAGGGGAGTGTGCAGCAGGACCTGGTATCCTTGTGCACCAGTCCCTGAAGGTAAGCATGCAGGTGCAGCAGGCAGTAAAGAAGGAAAATGGTATGTTGGCCTTCATTCCATAAGGTTTTGAGTACAGGAACAGGGATTTGTGGTTGCAGTTGTACAGGGCCTTGGTGAGTCCACACCTGGAATATTCTGTGCAATTTTGGTATCCTTTTCTGAGAAAGGACGCTCTTGCTCTTGAGGGTGTGCAGCCAAGGTTTACCAGGTTGATTCTGAGGATGGTGTGTTTGACGTACAAGGAGAGGTTGACTAGGTTGGGATTGTTTTTGTTAGGATTCAGACGAATTGGGGGAGATCTCGTAGATACTTATAAAATTCAAACAGGATTGCACAGGGTAGATGCAGGGAGGATGTTCCTGATGATGGATGTGTCCAGAACCAGGGGTCACAGTATGAAGATTCGGGGTAGATGATTTAGGACGGAGATGAGGAGACATTTCTTCACCCAAAGAGCGGTGAGCCTGTGAAATTCATTACCACAGAAAGTAGTTGATGCCAAAACATTGAATGTATTCAAGAGGCGACTAGATGTAGCATTTGGAGCGAATGGGATCAAAGGTTATGGGGAGAGAGCAGGATTAAACTATTGAATTGGATGATCAGCGATAATTGTGAAGAATGGTGGAAGAGACTTGAATGGCCAAATGGCCTCCTCCTGCTCCTATCTTCTATGTTTCTATGTATCTGGGTAACACCACTTTCAACTCCAATCTAAGAGTGGCATGGTGGCCCAGCGGTTAGCACTGCTGCCTCACAGTGCCAGGGACCCAGGTTTGATTCTGCCCTTGGGCAACCGTGTGTGTGGAGTTTGCACATTCTCCACGTGTCTGTGCAGTTTCCTCTAGGTGCTGTAGTTTTCATCATGATGCTACACCAGACTCATGCATGTGTCATCTGAACTAGGAAAGAATTTTACAGAGAAAAATATATCATGTATGATTGGTTCAATACTAGTGTTCTAGATATGGGAAATAAAAGTGGAAAATGCTGAATCAATTCTGCAAGTTAGAAAGTTTGTCCATCTGTAATATTATCCCTATCTCTCCCTTTAGATGCTATCTGACCAGTTGATATTCCAGCATTTTCTATTTTTATTTCAGATTTTCAGCTTCTGCTGTATTTTGCTTTTGTCTATATTTTAGGACTGGGTTCAAATCTAGCTCAGACAGATTACCTAGTTGGAACATATGCAAATTCCATTCGTGTTGTCTCAATCTAGTCCCAATTAGGTTTCAGTTGAGAATGATCCTTTATTGCAAAAAAAAACTGTAGGTGTCAAAACTTAGCAAAATTGCACAGTGAAGCTAAAACACATTGATACAATAGAGGAAAGTAACCCTATGATAACTGAGCTGAACTGAGTGTGCTTTCTGCTGAAGCATGTATCTAAAGTGAGAAATGCTCCATCCCTTCATTAACATCCCTTGCCTTGACGAACACAAATTTGCCATAACAACAGACATATGTACTTCATTTTCCAGAGTTGTATGCAATTCTACATACATTGTACACAGATTATGGACTTAAAATTGTACAATCCATGTTTAATTTAGAATTGCAGTATTAAGCACTTCACAATATGGGTTTACTTATTATAAGATGTTACATGACACAAGGGATAACTTGCATTCATGAACTACCATGTTATTTCAACTTATAACTTTGTAAAAAATGTATGCTTTCTGTATACTGAAAATCTTACATCTGCACACAACCTGTGCACAAGCTCTTGTTTCTTAATGTCACAATTTTGTATCAGCTATTCCTTCTAAATTCCTGTGTGTATATTTAGAATGAAACTACCCGTGTAAATCTATTGCATCATTCTTTCAGTGGTGACTCTGTAACACCCAATTTTCCATCATTAAAATTCCTTACCTGGTATTGCAGAGAATACGTTTATAAAAAGATATTGTGGTGGAGGTAAACTTTGCATAAGTGGTAAGTGAGATAAGTAATATGATAAAAATTATTGTAGAATTTATTTAAGCAAAAGGACATAAGATTGCCAATGACATATGAAAATCCTTGGGAATTATAGTTTGGGTTTTATTTCAAGCTAACGTGTGCCAGAAGAAAGGAGGATGACGCTGTGGTATCCATTTTCAAAAGGGACAGAGTTAACCTGTGTGATTACAAATCATCATTTAAAATTTAACACTAGGGGAAATATTTTGAATCTTTTATAAAAGATTAAATGCACACAAAAATATATTTAATAATGAAGAAAAACCAAGTAGATGCATCCAACATGGAGTTTCAGTAAGGAAAGTAATGCTTTCAAAAAATCTGGTAGAGTTCTTTGGAAAATGCAGATTGGGTATGTAAATACGGGTG